CTGGTGCTGAGACCGACTGTGTGGGTCTCACCCCATCACTAACCCACCCTGTGACCTGTGTGCATTGAGAAGGAGGCACCAGGACCCCTGCCAGGCTCCCTAGCTCTGACGCTCCGGGATTCTAGGGGCAGCCTGGAGTGGACAACACAGAGCAGAGGGTGCCGCATGAAGAACACATTGAGAAACATGGTGATTCCACCTCTAAAGCATCTACCAGTGAAATGAACACCACGACTGTCTTATTTTTACTGAAGTCAGAATCAAGAGTCAATTTGTAAGGGCCACCACAGACGTGTGAATACAGAGCACACAGCATTTGCTCCAAGGGCCAAAGCGCCCTCTTCCCGAATCTCAAGAGGTTAGGAACAAACCCGGTCTCATTCATATTATTTTTTGCCAGATCTACACGGGAAAACACCCGATACAAGCAAGGTGGAAGGGGGGCTCATCATTACAAACTGGGTGGTGGGAAGCCAATGAGGTGAGAAGGAAGTTGAGATCAAAACATGGGCTAATCTCAACCACAGAACACAACAGGACTGAATTACTCCGTCACTTCTGAGCCCTTTCTGGAACTGAAAATCGTACTCCATAGCATCAAGAGCAGCCAACTGTGAGAGGTGCTGTTAGCTTTGCTTCAAGTCGCTTCTGCTCTGCCCAGACCCGGGGACCTTTGCCATCCTGGGATCCAGTCTAACGGCCCTCAGGGGCAGCATCCAGTGTTCCTGATACGCCCTGGGGTTGTGAATCCAAAACTGAAAGGAAGAAGCCCCAAAATGAATGTGCACTGAAAGACTCGGACACCTGAAATATGTAGGAAACAGCTGCAGAACACGGCTGTCCTTGACTTGTCTGACAGAACTGAATGGTACTCAGTTGTAAACAGAACTCATTAAATCCTACTAAAATCAAAACATTCACTCAGAGGCTGGATGTGGTGGCTCACGCCTGTAATCCCAGCACTTTGGGAGGCCAAGGCAGGTGGATCACCTGAAGTCAGGAGTTTGAGACCAGCCTGACCAACATGGTGAAACCCTGTCTCTACTAAAAATACAAAAATTAGCCAGGCCTGGTGGTGGACACCTGTAGTCCCAGCTACTTGGGAGGTTGAGGCAGGAGAACTGCTTGAACCCAGGAGGCAGAGATTGCAGTGAGCCCAGATCACACCACTGTACCAGCCTGGGTGACAGAGCAAGACTCTGTCTCAAAAAAAAAAAATTTTGATTATTCTAGTTAATTGAGACACCTGTTCAACAGTAGATATGGTTATATGACATACAACTTTAATTTTCATTTTTCAGGTAGTAATTTATATTTTTCAAAGCAGTTATTGGTATTTTTTTTTTTTAAACAGAGAAACAAGGTCTCATTCCATCACGCAGGCTGGAGTGCAGTGGCAAGATCATGGCTCACTGCAGCCTCAAACTCCTAGGCAATCCTCCCGCTTTAGCCTACCAAGCAGCTGGGACTACGGGTGTGCACCACCACGCCCAGCCAATTTTTGAATTTTTTGGTACAGACGGAGTCTTACTATGTGGCCCAGGCTGGTCTCAAACTCCTGGGCTCAAGCGATCTTCCTGCCTCAGCCTCTCCCAGCAGGCATGAGCCACTGCGCCTGGCCATACTCAGTGCCTTTAATCTCTATTCATTTTAGAAAACACTAAAATTCATTTTTTTACTTAATAGTTACCTAAATCACTTACTGAACCTGCGATGTCTGCCTGTGGTAATTCAACAACCACCTAAAAATAGAACATTGAAAATGAATATTGATACATTTTATGATTCTGACACAACCTAGGCAAAGCATAGCTCTAATTAAGATGGAGAGCTATATTAGGTTCTACAACGTAACTGCTCCAGAAAAACCACTGATCTTTAGCCTCAGAACTAACGCTCTACAAGCTGACTCCTTTGCTTTGCTCTCCTCGTGTTCTCTTCACTTGGTGACTTAATCAACAGTCTTGGCGCATCCTCCAGGACAAGCCAATCCAGCGTGACCTTGGCCCTAACATCTTGTTCCCTTCCCACTTTCATTCCACGTTCCCAAAGCCCTGTGTGCAATTCCTATTTCGCTGTCATGAAAGGGCCCCAAACGTGCCATGTGTGACCTTCTGCATCCCTTCTGCTCAGGACCAGTAAGCCGTCTTGCTCTCCATTTCCCACTATAGCTAATTGGGCCTTGCCCCCTGCGCCATTCAGGTGCCACCTCCACCCAGACCACCTCACTCAGGCCCCGCATATGCCTGGCCCGGACCACTACTCACCCACACATTGAGAACCCCACTCTCATCCAAGGAAGCGATGTGGAAGGACAAACCTGACATTTCTGATGAAAACAGAAACAAAAAGAAAGAAATGGCTTTACATAAGGAAACCATATTTCACAACTAGTGATTAAGAATTTTAAGAAAGTGAAGAATCACGTACCTTCCTGAGTCGAAAAGGGCGAAAGCACAAAGCTGTGCTTTTTGTGGACGGACGTTGAGATAGGTTCTACTGCTTGCAGAGGGCTTTGGTGGTTTACTGAGGTAAGGATTCCATCTGGAGTTCAAAATCCCACAGCACCCACGTGTAAGTAATAAGTTGCAGAAATGTAGCTGGCATCACACATGGACAAACATGAGGTGCTTCTGGGTCTCACAAATCTGACTCTCTCCACACATCTTCCCAAAACATCCCAGGACCAACATGGACCACATACGACTGACACAGGACCACAACTTTCACATTCCTAGGACACAGGGGCCCCAGCCCCCGCTCTCCAGTAAGAAAGCGTCAGTTCCCACAGAGCTCGCTGGCCCTGTGGGTCTACGGGTCTGGAGGGCAGGAAGAAAGCTAAAGCCCACACCCAAAGACAGCATGCCACACAGCCCGAAAGAAAACTCAGACAGAGACAGTCTCTGCGAGGCCAGATCCTGGGGGTCACTCAAGCAACTGAGGGGAAGGAGCTGGGAGGCAGAGGAGGTCGGAGCAGCATGGCTGATGGGAAGGGGAATGTGACCAGGAAAGGGAGGTGACCTCCACACACACCCGACAACTGCCAGAAGAGGGAAATCCAGGCGTTTGCAAAACCAAAGGAACGGCAAACCCACCCCACCTACCACCTTAAGGCACAATGCCCACTAAAAAGATACCTGTCACGAATCAACAAAGCAAAGCTCACTGACTTAAAATATCCATCTACGGAATGCCTATGAGCAGAAAAAAGCCAAACTCCATAGAAAGCTACTATAAGAAGAAAACAGAAAAAAATGTAATCAAAGGATTTCAGCTGATGAAAATTCTCCCTCCTAAAAACAAGCACAAGGCAAAAGACACAAAACTCAATGTTCCAAATGGAATCACATCTCCTCAAAGGGCATCTAGAAACATATCAAAACAACAAACAAGAAAAAAACACCGGGAATCAGAAATCAAGAACAGAATTGGACCCAAGAAAGCAAGAAATGAAATGAGAATTGGGATTGAACTTGGGAAAAAAACTGAAGAAAAAGACAAAATCATCTCAGAAATTCAGAAGAAATTATAGGGTGTTTAAGGGAAAGGACCAGATGAAGCGCTGATGGCTTGACTGAGGAAAGGGCTGGTCTCTCGGGCGAGAATTTGGTTCCTCTGACTCATGGTCTGAATCAGAAGTTCCACAGCTCCTCACTACTGAGAGTTTATTTAAAACTTTGTAGGTTTCATTGATAATATTTCAAAGACAAGGCCAGGCGTGGTGGTTTATACCTGTAATCCCAGCACTTTGGGAGGCCGAGGCGGGCAGATCACCTGAAGTCAGGAGTTCAAGACCAGCCTGACCATCATGGAGAAACCCCGTCTCTACTAAAAATAAAGAAATGAGCCAGGCATTGGTGGTGGGCACCTGTAATTCCAGATACTCAGGAGGCTGAGGCAGGAGAATCGCTTGAACCCAGGAGGCAGAAATTGCAGTGAGCTAAGATCGTACCACTGTATTCCAGCCTGGGCTACAGAGCCAGACCCATCTCAAAAAAAAAGAAGGATGCATTTTAATGGAATAATTTATTTGTATGTATAGTCTAGAGGTTTACTGTTTTTGAAAATGGTGCTGCATTCAAAAACTTTTTAGTAATAGCAGCAGCAGTTAGAAAAGGCGAAGATTATTTATTTAAAAGGTATCTTTTAAAATA